ACAACTCTTGCATATGATATAGTTGATGGAGTTGAAAAGTGAGGAAATAAACTGACATTCTCCCTAGCATCTAGCAAGCTACCTGTGTTTGCCCTCTTTACTGTTTCTTATTTACTCTTTAGGTTTCTGTTACTCAACTCTGCTCAGTTATATCAAGGATCACCCTTTTGGAGTGGAAGACAAAGTTGTTTCCTATCATCTTGATGCATAGAAAACCGTAGACAGAAATAGTCTTTTTCCTAAGTTGTGGTGATCTGGAAGCAGTGAGTCTTTTCTCTTTGATTCTGGTCTGTTATTCTTTGAAATACTGAAGTGCAGTCAGCAGTCAACAAATAATAAGAAACATAAACCTCTGCAGTACTTTGGCTGCCCCGCTGTGCTGTCTGCGTATTCTGAAGAAGCACAAGACTTTGCCTTGTGAGACTTGCTAAGTAATCAAAGCTGCTGAAAGACAATACAACTCCTGCCTCCTTAGGGAAACCGTCTAGCAGTGAACGCAATTGAGCAGATGTTTTGGTGATCTTCCATGTTTTCTACTGATGACATACAGCTACTTTTCTCTTGTTATTTACAGAATAGTCTAATTTTTTTTTTTTTTTTTTTTTTGTTTTGGAGATAAGTCAGAACATTTATAACAGCTGAGGTGTTTGGGTGTGAAGGGGAGATTGCAGCTAAGACCAGCAGACCTTACATTGCAGAAATACTTTAATGAGATGCATTGCAGTTGTGTACATCCATAAACTTGCAAGAGCCTGAGCAGTAGAAGTGGCAGAAGCAGCCAGAAGGCTGGAACAGAAAGGTCTGGTTAATGACCTAGGGCAGATCCTGCTCATAAGTGTTTGGCTTCTTGCAAGAGGCAGAATGGACTGATCTTCCTACTCATTTTTAATAAATACCTCCATAAACTGGGGGATAAGCCCTGGTTTAATTCTTTCCCTGCATTTTATCTTTCCAGATTCATTTCCTTTAGTAGTGAATTTACAGTCTTTGCTGTAAGTACTTTCACACGGAAATAAGGCTTCATAATCTGTGTAGATAATATATACTAGAATGAAATTGTTCCAATACTCTGTCTGCCAGAGGCCAGACTGAGAGATAAAGAGATATAAGGCTTGCAGTAGTCGTTCATTACTCCCTTGCATTTGGCTGCAAAGGAGTAACCACACTTGCTCAGTGGACCATGCAAATATAACGAATCTCTGATCTTTCTGAACGTGATTTACTAGAGGAATATTTCATTATTCTTTCTGTAGCAGCACAAGAAAGGGGGATAGTTCTATATAGGCGTAGCTGTAGGTTTTCTTCATTTTTTTTGTCACATTTCTGATTAGCACAGTTAAATTGTACGGTAATGTATTGAAGCTTGCTGTCAGTTTTGTAAAGTCTCTTGATGGAATCTTATCTATTGTGAATGATAATAAATTCCATTTCAGCTTGAAGTCAAGACTTATGTCCATTTGACTTGTGTTTCAGCTATGCTCTTTTTTTTATGGCAATTTGAGAGACTGGGGAGGAACATAATAAGTAATTGTCTGCTTCCTCTCTGTTAGTTACTTGACATCTGGCTTGTAAGTGTCTTGCAGGCCCCTCTTCTGCCCTTTTTCTCTCCTTCCAATAGAAAAGTCTGCCTTTCTCAATAAAGAAATAAATTCAAAAAAAGTCTATAGAAAATCCAGAGAATACTCCAAAGGAAAAGCATTTTAACATACAGTCCTGACAGCTTCCATGCACAGAATACTTGATTTCGTAACAGGAGAAGATTAATGCTGCCCTTCTATTATGTGCTTTTGGATCTGTATGTACTCCTCTGTAGTCAGCCTCCTCATGAACTGCTGAACATTAGCAGTGAAGGCACAGACAGCTTTGTGTTTGTGCAGCTTAGCTGAAGGGAGGATGACACAGACAGCTACATAGATGGTTCTGAGCATCTCTTTGTACCGAAGCAATACTCCAGCTGATGCTTTTGGTTTTTTTACAAGAACTTGTGCAAGCTTGCAGTAGCTAGCAGATCCTTCTGGTTGCTGACAGCCTAAAGCTTTTATTCTGTGGTGAGGAATTTTGGACTATTTTGTAGACATTTGAGCTGTAATGGATGACTGACTTTTTGTTGCCACCAGACCTACATATTTTAAATACATCACAGTCATAGTAAAATAATACTAGTACACTTCCAGACAGAGTAACTAAAGGACCTAGAATTAAAGACCTCACTCAAAGTGCTGGGTGAGTCTTGTTTAGATAATGTTATTGTTCAAGATGATGTTCTTCTCCGTTATTCATATGAATTCATACCCTGTCATTGTGCTTAACTCAATTCCCACTCTTGAGCAAGATTTCCCTATTTATTTCTGAACTAGCAAAATGTTATCTCCGCAATATATCACCGTTTTCAACTGTTACGTAGCTTCTGTGCAGTATTGTATTCAACTTCATTCTGTAGGTAAGGGTGTTAAACCCCACTAAGTTTAGCACATCTGTCTGAGGTTTCTAGAACTTGCAGTAATCTTGTTTGTTTTCCTCTGGGGACTTAAAGTGTAAAATGCTATTATAAATTGTAATCACAGTTTGCCTCAAATAGTGACTGCAGCTGGGAATCTTACAGATCAAACCCCTAGATCCCAAATTGGGCAATCAAGTAGGGTTGCATCCAGGTGGCTGTGCCATTAGCTGAAGAGGGGCAACTGTGCTCCCTGTAGAGCAACTCCAAAGCAAGCAGGAGTGAGCTACATCCAGTAGTTAACGCATGGGGAACACTGTGACAACTTCTGTCAAATGTAAAAACATCTAATCTCCAGTGATTATATGCGGAATACTGTCAAATACTGTCATTGGTTCTGTGCTCCAGAGTGGTGGTTTCTCTGTGCTATCAGGCTATCACTCCCTGGTGCCACGCGTAATCTCTGCTGCTGTATGATGTCTTGGCACACGTAGGTAAAGGTCTGCCTTCACTTGGTTCGTGCACTCCTGAAATTCCTTCATAGGAGATCTGTGTGTCTGGAGGGAGGAGGGCCTGCAGATCTGGGAAGAGCATCTTTCTCCAAGTTAGAAAGTGGCTGACAGGGAAGTCTCACAACCAGAACTACACTGTCTGTGTGTAGCGACTGGGGGATTAAAAAGCCTAGTTGTTTTTCCTTCATCTCTCGCTCTCTGTCCGTTATCAACAACACAACTTCCAGCTTCTCTAGCCAGAGCAAGTTTTATGGAGTTGCATGCTTCCTCCTTGATCACTTTACATCAAAATGGGCTGCACAGTGCTGATATGTTTCTACTATGTATGTAAGGTGTTCTTTTCAAATGCTCATCTGCTGCAGATTTCTTATGGCTACCTGTAGTGTCTGGCAGGCATAGCTTTGTCACTCCTGAAATTTCTCCTCTTAACGTTGAAAGCACTATAAAGCCTGTGGAAGAAGAATGCCAACATTTTTTCAGGTTGGGTGTCTGTTTACGTTAAAACTTTAAGATACCTTGAGGAAACAAATTTATAGGGTAGAAATTTAGAGCTAGTAAGCTAAAGCGTTTTCTCCGCTCTGGGCGTCCTTGAGCCTCAGGTTCTGAGGCAGAGCTTTGGTCTGATGTGGTGAAACCACTCTTGCAGTCTATGACAGCAGTGTGATTCACTACAGGGACAACATCACCAGGTCAGACCAAAGGTTTGCCTATTCCTGCGACAGGAACAGTAGCATTGATCTTGAAATACTTGAGCTGACTTGGCTGGACTTCAAATGATGGTGTGTCCTGAAGCAGACACAGAGTTAGAAAAACACTGAGAACTGAATTTTGAAGTGCAGTAATTTATTAAACAGTCGCAAAACAGCACGTGGGAGATGACAGCATCTTTAGCTATTCCGTACAGGTGAATCCTCTGAACTGTCTGAGGGGGGTATGTAGGAGAAACTGTGTGTGGTGCACAAAAATGCTGAAGGAATGGGAATATTTCTGTAGGTGGCTGACATGTACTGGATGAATTTTCATGAAGTTGAGCGCTGTGAGCAATAAGCCAGTGCCTGAGTGGATTGCTAATTGTAGAATATGTTTTACAGAAGATGCACAAATCTCAGATTTTAATTGGATTTCTACTCGTTTTCTTGAGTTGCTCCTTACAAGGAGGCTTGTTATGCTGTTCTCTCACTGAGATCATCCTTTAGCCTGGTAGTAGTTAATGTTAGTAGTTAACATTGCTAAATTTGGGGAGATTGCTCTGCTGATTTGTCACACAAACAGCAACATATCTGACTGAGTTTTCATTATGCCTGCATTTATACAACAAACTGCTAAACTTGGTGTTTGTTACGCACAAGAGCAATTGCTCCTTGGTGTTGGCCCTTGCTTCCCACAACACTGAAAACATGGGAGAAAGCAACAGATGATTCTTCCTAATGCTTGTCTGAGGCTGACCACCTTCAAAAGGATTTTATATGTGTATGGTTTTGTTTCTTGCAGTGTTCAAGTTCTCAGAGGGCTTAGCTTGTAATTAAGCACTAGATGCTGTTCCACACTGTTCCGCTGTTAGGAAAGCCTGGGGGAAAAGGATTGTAGCCTCACATACTTGCATAGCCTTTTGATGACGCTGAAATATATACTTCAAAAAAAAAAACATGTTTACTGTTTGAGGTTTTATAGTACTGGGTGTGTTTTCTGTCTGTAACACTTCTATTATTAGGGGCCAAACATGTTATCTGTGCAGATACTATTACAGTAAGTGAAGTACATAAACACAGAAGCCTCAGTAGTTATTTACTGTTTCTAGACAGCATGTGATAAAAGGATCTTTTAAAATTTGCAGCTCCTGCACATTCTTTTTGTTCTGCCCTAGTGAAACTGGGTGTCCTTCATGGCAGGTTCAGAAGGCTCTTTGCAGTCTTTCATTTTGTATTTTGGCTGCTAAATAACCGGAAAAATTGACCGAGGAAAACAGTGAAGAAGTTGAGCCAGCAGTTGCCACAGTGACAGTTGTCCAATGTAAATATCTTACAACTCTTCTGTTTATCATCTGTTTTCAGGGCAGTTTAAGCTGCTGGAACAAGACCGAGATATTAAGGAGCCAGTGCAGTATTTTAACAGTGTGGAGGAGGTGGCTAAAGCATTTCCTGAACGAGTTTACGTCATGGAGGAAATAACATTCAACGTTAAGGTAGTCCCTGAATAAATATTTATCTCTGTCTCAGTGATTAACTGTTACAACCTTTATATACATGGCAAGCGAGCAACAGCGCTGTGTGGGAAGTGTGATTTTTGAGACAAACGGGTCTTTAGTTCTGCTTTCTGTGGTGGTGCTCTTCAGGATCGTTTTTGCAGTGCTAAATCAACACGTCCTAGAAGGGCTGTCCTAACCTATGGCACTTCAGGGAGCAGTACTGATGATGCATCCCATAATTCGTCTAATTGGGATGTTGCTGCCAGACTTTAAACAAATGTTGTTTGTTGCCCCCTTTGTCCTCCCACTTCCAGCAGTTTGAATTTTATTTTCTGGTAAGCAGCAGCTGCTCAAATCCCTGTCCAGAAAGCCTTACTCTCAGAGAGTGTGCAGAGTGAAATGATGGTGTTGCTTCTCTCAAAATTACTACAGAAAGTGTCATTGTGAATAAAAGACAAAAATAGAAAATATGGCCTTGTTCTGTGTGTGTGTATTTGTGCACACACTTCTTGGGCTCATCTTTGGGACAACAATGCCAGAAGAGGGCTTTGCATCACCAAACTGCAGTTCTATGGTATGAAGCAATGGTAATAGAGCATGTTCATTTCCCTTGTCTTACCTGTATTTCCTTTCTTTCCATAGCAGGACACCTATGCATGATAGGTCAGTTCTGGTGAATGAGCACAACAGCATCCTGGAGATGGGATGCAATGGTGTATATTTGCATTGTGTACAGAAAAGACTGGCTGATGCTGCTAGTGCAAAACCAGTATAGTACATTCCCAGGTGTAGTAGTGTGAGTTTTTTTATAACCCATGTATCTTTTAATGGCTTCTTCTCTTTTTTGCACTGCTAGAGTTGGGAGACATCAGCTAGACTCAGTTTTTATAGGTATGAAACAAGATTGCTGAAGACTACTATAAGTGCTCATTAGTTAAGTCATTTAGATACACAGACTTTTGCCTTTCAGGACAGTAAGTTGTTTTTTTGTTGTTTTTTTTTTTGTTTTTAACTTTTGTGCTATTAATTAATTAATCTGAAACAATGCAACAGAGCCTTTCAGGAATGATAACTACAGGAGAAAAATGAAACGCTTGAATTTTTAGGATATATTTAGCCAAATGAAGGAAGCAAGAAAATTCCATTTCTACCCAAGAAGATCATTATTATCTTAGAACTGCTGTGCCATTATTTCTCAGTGTGTCTGTATCCAAATGAAGAGCATGGCACAGTGAAACATGCAGTTATAATTTTTGGATAAAAAATTTAATTTTTGGATAAAAGAAGAAGGCTTTTCAAAATATAAAACATTATGTCTTGAGTTTAGCACCAGTATTCTCAATCTCTTTGTCATATTTAGCAAACTCAGAATTAAGCATAGCCTACTATTATATATATCAGATACATTTTAAAAGATATTTTAGTCATACTCTTTAATGTAAATAACAGTAGTAATAATCCAGGTTTAACCTAGTTAAACATATCTTGGCAGTATTTCTCTTGGCTGTTTCTCAAGTTTCATAGAAGACTATTCCAAAGTTGTCATCTTCTGAAAAATGAATTAGCAGGACTTTTAAAAGTGTTTAATGACTATATACAACAGAATGACGTATGCTACGATTCTATGAGAGATGGTGTCAAAGTGATTTGAGCAAAGGGAAGAATGCAGTTGATTTCTATCCAAAGCAGTGTGTTCACTTAAATTAAGATTATCAGAAGTTAGTTAATCTGATACAAAAAGAAGACATGTCTAAAATATCTAATAAAGCACTTAAGATGAGGAGGAATTGTGATGTCTGGGTTTTTTTCTTATTCTAAAAAATCCACTGCTGTGGATAAGTTTTGAAGAAAGAGCTGGTAGCGTTACAGAATTTCACTGGACTGTTCCTATATGATTTTGTCTGTGTTGAGATCTGTCTGAGCATGCTGTGTGCCACTGCTGAGGTTGACTCCATGCAAACCTTGTCCTCCAACTAATTCCTTTGCTGCTTAGGCAGTATTTTGCAGCTTAGAGAAGTTTAGAGAACGGCTGCTTTCTCATAATGAAGTGCCATGACATCTTTTCTAAGAGGGAGGTTTTATTTTACTTTGTGTGCTTTCACTTGTTAGTAAAATTTTACCCTAAGGTAGGCCACAGAGACATCTCCCTTCCTTCCTTACTGTTTCCCAGTTAGGTGGCTTTTCTGGGAAGTGTGTTGAGGCAGAACATTTAGGGCCTGTGCTGTATTTGAAGGAGTGTTGTAAGGCATGCTATCAAAAGCAGAGCTGGGACTAGAAGGTAGAGTCCTGAGTACTTTTCACAGAACAGCAAGCAGGAATTTGAGGTTAAACCAAATTTTTGTAATGATTAGAACTACTTATGTTAATTTCTTCTGATTTGTGCATGTATCTGTGCTTATATACCTTGTTGATCACCTCGGTACCTGGTAGCCAGCAGTATCTACAGACACAGTAAATCTGAGTGATCTGAGGATAAGCTGATTGCCTACAGTCAAAATCTGATCTATTCCTAGTAGAAAATTGTGGGCATTCTGTCTATTCTTCAATGAACAGATATCTTACAGCCTTTTCCATGTTACTATTCAATGCATAGTGACAGATAATTTTGTTTATATAGCAGTATTACATTGCAATGATGAGAATGAGCTTAGCTCTCTATGCTTAGAAGAAAAATCTTAAGAAAGTTTTGCTGCTCCAGGGCCCTTTTCCTGAAGCAGCAATAGGTTTCTGCAGTTGGGTGCTGAGGTTCCACACAGGTAGAAGTCTATGTAAACAAGGAAGCTAAAAGAAAAAATAGTTAAGTTCCTTGAAAAAAAAATCATGATTTTTTTCTTCTTACAACTCTTCTGGATACCCTATTTTATATTAAATAAAACTCTTTATCCACTTTCTATACCTTGTGGGAAAAAAAAATATATGTTCTGGTTGGTCTGTTGGCTTTAATAATAGAATCTGGATGCAGTAACTATGCATCAGAGGCCTCACTGTTTAAAAAAAAAATTCAAAAAGGTTCTAACTATGAATTTGTACTGGCAATGCAATGCTTGCATTGCTCTAATAAGATCTAGCAGGTATAACAAGTTGTATGAAGCCACAAATCACTTTTATAAGGAGTTCCTACATGCCCAAGTGACTAAGGACTTCTGCCTCTTAACTGTAACAAATTAGAACAATCGGAGCTCGAGACAGGGTATTGACTCAGGTGTTATCAGAATCTATTTTTCTGAGTTAACCTTTCCTTAAGCAAAAGAAACAATATGCTGCAATATGCTTGAATTTTCCCAAAAGAACGTGTTGCCTAAATCATCATTCATCACTTTCCTGATGCCTGTCTTCTGCAGTAGATATAACTGGCTTCTGAATGGTTATTGAATTGCAAGCTGAAAACATGAGAATGCCTTAACCCCCCCCCATGTTTGACAAGATGTCTGCAAGCCAGCAGCCTTTCTGGTCAGCAGTCTGGCATCAGTACTGAGCTGTTAGTATGGATCAGTATGTGTGAAGTTGAGGAGTAGATGTGTGAAGTGTGAAGCAGACTGCTTCTGGTTGTGTGGTGTGGATCTTCTCTCATACTGGGAGATGTTCAGTTTGAACATCTAGTGAGGTTTTTTTTTTTTTTGCAGAATGGTGTGGCAAACACTGCTTCTTTCACAGAGCTAGAAGCACTGGTTATTCTCACCTATTATGAGAAAGTGACAAAAGGATGAGGGTGGAATGAAGCTACAGAGTTGATTGTTTTAATGTGTAAAGCAGCACTTTAAGAGAGAGCAAACAAGAAGAGAAATGTGTTTGGGGAAGGAGTTACTACAGGATGCTCCCAAGGCTAATAATTAGATAAGACTTTGTGTTTATCATGGCATTGAGATGTGTGGCAGTTACTGCTGCAGGCTGTTGCACTAAAATTGCCCAGTGTGGAACCTGTGTTTTAAACTGAAGATGTAAAGAGAGAGCATACACAAAATAATTAAAACAAGTGCACTGTCCCACTGAGGAAAGATTTGAAGAAAATGTGTTCACCTTCCCTCCTTCCCTCCTCCTCTCCCCATTCCTTCAGCTGCTCTCCGGTCCTGCTGCAAGACTGCCTGTTTTTATAGCTGAAGATTCAAAGCAGGCCTGGTAAAGCCATTGAGGAGATGAGAAGAGCATGGTTCCAATATGGGCAGAGCAGGACGGGAAGACGAGCGGAAAGTGCAGGGCAGGCTGGAGTCACACTGGGATCTGTCAGCCCTCCTGGTGTGTTATAGAGCTGAATGAAGGCTTTTTGGTGCCTTTTGTAACTCTACATATTTTCCAGAGTTATGAGGAGATTCCAGCAGTTTGCCAGGAAAACAGACCATATATCTATCTGCATCCATCTATAGTCTGGGCTACCTTAACTGCCACTCTGAGATAGGGCACTGTTGTCTCTCTTGTACAGGAATTGTATGTTGTGAGATGTGCAAAGTGTCTGAAATGGTCCAGGGTTCTGTTACATCCCTGCAGTGATTTCACAGCAGGCAGTGTATGTTACATGCTTCAGGTGGTAGTATAAAGACATGGCGTGGTGCTTGAAGGTATGGATCCTGTTGGGCTGGTGCTGGAAGCTTGGAAGATAGAGGGCATGGTCTTATTCCTGTCACTGTCATCATTTCATTTGGAAATAATTTGTGATATACTTTTGGAAATAATTTGTGATTTCTCTTAGATCGCTTTGTCTTTAAGCATCTTTTTTGGCATGAATCAAATCTGTTCCTAGAAACTTTTAACCAGCAGGCATCTGTGTCTGACTGCTTCACTTGCAGAGCAGAGGAGGCTGAGGGAGGCCTCATGGCACTGAGCTCTGCTGTCTGGTGACAGCAACAGAACCCAAGGGAAGGCATAGAGCTGCTTCAGGAGGAGGAGGATCAGATTAGATGTTACAAAAAGGCTCTTCAGCAGAGGGTGGTGGGCATGGAACAGGCTGCCCATGGCTGTGGTCACAGCCCCAAGTGCCACAGCTCAAGAAGCATTTGGACAGCACACTCAGACATAACGTTTGAATTTGGGCAGTCCTGTGTGGAGCCAGGAGTTGGATTTGATGATCATTGTCAGTCTCTTCCAGCTCAGGATATTCTGTGCTTCCCAGACTGGTGGGAGCCCCCTGAGGTTCATTAGTGAGCACAGAGCCCTGTTTCTGCCGTGGGATTAGCCCTGCAGCAGGCAGACTGTCCAGGAAACAGCTTGCAGAAAAGACCTGATTTTGTCTTTAAACATGACTATCTGATGTCACAATCCTTGTGCTATTGGTTGAATTCAATGCCACTAATCAGCAACTGCTTTCATAACCATGGCTCACTGTGTCACTGTTCTTGCTCAGTACCTGCTGTGGTTGCACATCTGAGTGGCCATGTTGTCCTTCAGAATGGGCTTTTCACAAATCGCTCAGAAGCTGCAGGTTGTCAAAGCAGCAGCTCCTGCAGTCATGGATTACAACAGCTCCCTCGCTTCTGTCCCCATTGTGCAGGAGGTAAGAAGAAGCTGTAATAATGCTGTCACACATTTAAATGTCTGACAGTGTTGCCCAAAGAAGTCCTTTATGAGGATTTGCATTTACTAGAAACCCACGTTCTTATAGGACGTGCCCTTTCGAGAAGAGATGCGGTGGACTGCATGGGACATGCACAGAGTCCTGTGTCTTCAGCCCCCTTAGTTCCTCTAAGGTCAGGGCCTCACCAGCAGCAATGCAAACCTAGCATTTATTGGTTCTGAAGAGAAAATAGCAATAAGCATCATTCTGGTGTTATCGGCAGAAAAATCTGAGTGCTTTCTTTTCATGTTGCAGCTTTTCATTATATTGTCTGGCCAGCAGCATAAACTGTGACTACTGTGTACAATAAAATCCCAGTGGTTTCCTGGATTAGGCCAATTAGAGTTTGTTTGGATAATTCAGGGCTTGAATGGCTTCCTGTCAGGAAGTGCTGAGCTGAAACACTCTGAAGGCACACCTCTTCTGAGCTGCCTGGCCATTTGCTGAGAGAGGTTTCCAGAAGATAATAATGACTTTACAAACACAAGTGAATTGCAGATCACATCTTACAAGAGGAAGCATTATTTACAGCACTTCTCAATTACTGACTAATTGGAATTACAGCTCTGATTTCATGCAGTGGCTGTCCTGTGACGAACTCTGAAGGCTGGAATGTGAACTTCACATAACTGGGTGGAATCTTTAGGAGTCATGTAAATGGGGCAGGGATATATTATTCTTGCTTATTTTTGGCAGGTTTTATTTTTAATATGTTCAGTATTCCTGAACAAAGTGGTCTGTAGCAGGCCTGCCGTGGTTAGCTGAGGCACCTTCCTTTAAGAATAAGTATCTGCTACTGCGAAGAAGAGCTCATTAAGTTCTGGTTGGTCCCTGAAAAAGGCCTTTCACATTAAGCCATTCAAATAGAAAGCAGAGCAGTCTTGTGTGTAAAGAGTTATTCCAGTCTTAAGGAAATAACTTCAGGAATAAATGAGCCTTGGACATCTGTTTTTCTTTTTTTTTTCTTTTTTTTTTTAAATACCAGTACAATTTCTATAGTAGAAAAGCACACACATGGCTTTGCATATGTTGTTTAATATCTTAAATTGCAATTATGATCAAAAAATGAGGAAGGAAGTCTGAAGGCAGAGAGGGAGTTGGGCATGTGGGATAGACCAATATTCTTTACTTGTCCTCCAGGGAATAGATGTCATCTGTCATTCACCCTAGCTGTGAAGAGGTTATATCAAAGGGATATGTTTCATTCGTAGTGATGAGATCACCTTCTCAGCTCCTCAGGGAGATGAAGCTGGAAGAAGAATGTTTGCTTCCTTTAAGAGCCTGACAAATAAGTTACAGCAAAAACAAGGAGTGAAGAGAAGATATCCAAGCAAATCCAGACAGGCTCTGTCATAGCTGTGTGACACAGCTGGCTGTTTGAATTGCTGGGAGTTGTCCTTTATTTTAAAGCTTGTTTTATTTGTTCTCGTGTCTTCTTTGTCATTCCCAAGTGGCCTCTTCCCCTCTAATAAGATGAGACAATACACAGAACAGTAAAAAAAGATTACTTGACTGAGCTTTACATTAAACCTCACGTGTGTCTGACTACTCAGCTGTTCAAATAAAAATAGTGTTTTTCTCTCAAAGTACCACCTTCAAGTCCAATCTCATTAGGTTTGATATGATTTGTGATGTTTTCAGTGAGGTAAAAACAATTTATTTCATTACTGTTTTGCAGGTAGCTTCAGGTGAATGCAATGAAGACACTGAGGTTTACAACATTACCCTTAGTACTGGGGATGAACTCACTTTAATGGGACAAGCAGAAATCCTTTATGCAAAATCTTCTAAGGAGAAGTCACGACTCAACACCATCTTTAAAAAAATTGGTAAACTTAATTCAATTAGCAAACTTGGCAGAGGCAAAATGCCCTGCCTCATCTGCATGAACCACAGGACCAATGAAAGCATCAGTCTCCCATTCCAGTGTAAGGGCAAGTTTAGCACCCGCAGCCCATTGGAGGTGCAGATGCAAGAAGGTGAGCACACAATTCGTAATATAGTAGAAAAAACCCGGCTGCCTGTTAATGTGACTGTGCCAAGCCCTACACCGAGAAACCCCTACGACCTGCATTTTATCCGTGAAGGGCACAGATACAAGTTTGTCAACATTCAGACCAAAACTGTGGTGGTTTGTTGCGTGCTTCGTGGCAACAAAATTATTCCCATGCATTTTCCCTTGCACTTGACACTTCCAAAATTTACTCTACCTGACAGTCTTGTGAAGGGGGAGCTGTGGCACGAATCCCTCATCCAGCATTGGTTTAATATATGCCAGGAACAGTTTGACATAGATGAGTATTCCCGGGCCGTGCGCGATGTGAAAACAGACTGGAATGAAGACTGCAAGAGCCCAAAGAAGAGCCGGTGCAGCGGGCACACTCACGTGCCCAACTCCCTCAGCTATGCACGGGACGAACTCACGCAGTCCTTCCACCGGCTGTCGGTGTGTGTTTATGGCAACAATTTGCATGGCAATAGCGAAGTGAACCTCCACGGCTGCAGGGACCTGTGTAACGAGTGGGCACTGTTTTCTCACGATGCGCTTCAGTACCAGGATTCTGGTGACAGTAGCAGTGATTACCTTTTTCCAGAGGTTGGTGAAGAGTCCATGTTTCTGCCTACAAAACCAGAACTTCCTTACGAAGAGCTGTGGTTGGACCAAGGGTCTGGAAAGCCTGGTGAGCAGCCTCTCACTCGCTCGCTAAGTGAGAAGAACAAATGTGACAATTACAGAGGATCCTTCCGATCAAAGTGTGGTAGTCCATCTCTTCCTGTGCCTGGGACAGTCGATGCAGCAACAAAGTCTGCGGATGTTTCCCTACCTCCACCTCCAGTGCCTCCCAAATCAGAAGCAGTAAGTCAGGGTTGCTTTTGTTGGTTTGTTTCTTTTTCAGCAGATGAAAAGTTTGTTTGGGAATTCTTTATGGGGAAGACTTTGGAGGGGGTAGAGCACATGCAGGGAAATAGGGAGAAGAGGTGTGCAACTTCAGCTAACCTCATAGCAACTGTAAGTCACATCCTAAAATTCATCAAAGTATATTTAATGTAGCTGATCTGGTAGCTTAATCCTGATACTTCAGGTGACATCATCTCTCCACGTGTGGTCTGTTTTCTCATATTTTCAGTGAGAGTGGAGATTATTAGGTTCATCACCTTCAACCAGACTTCACGGAGTGATAATTTAGCTCTGTTTTGGTAGTGCTTATTGAAAGAATTTATGCTTAAATATATGCTCTGCAGCAGAGTTTAGAAATGAGCCTTTTAGAAGACTCAGTTTTAAATAGAGTGAATTCTATTCTATTCTATTCTATTCTATTCTATTCTATTCTATTCTAT